GCGCGTGGAGGGAAGGCACTTCGTTAAGCAGCTCCGTGCTGTCATGAAGCAGCATGTCCAAAGCAGGAAGGGAGAGGACGCCAGCTCTTGCATGTTGCGGCCGGGGTTTTCAAACTGCTGTGGAGAATGGATGCCAGGTAAATATAAATTAATGGAGGTTTGGCATCTGGAGTTGATAAGTCACAAAGAACACGCATAATAAAGCCCAGGTTTTTAACAGGGAGGGTCATGACAGGTCGGAACAGTTTAACCAGGGTTGTGTGGGTTCTGCTTCAATGGATGTTTTAGAATTGGGTTTGGAGGCTTTTTCTTGAGGATATCCTTATCTCTGTGGCTGGGGATCACATGGTGGCTTGGGCTGTGCAGGAGAAGGGCTGAGGTACCTTCGACAGTGTGGGGATGTGCTGCAGTATAACTGCGTCTCTTCTCCAGACAGAGGTTGCTGAGGACCCAGAGAAGGTTTCCACCGTTCACTTACAGCTTGGGCTACCACTTGTGTTCATCCTCAGCCAGAAAGAGACCTATGAGGCTGACAGGAGGACAGCAGAGTTTGTGGCCTGGCAGCTCTTGGGGAAAGCAGGAGTTGCCCTTTTGTCCAGGTATTTGCTCTCAGGTGTTTTGGGGTTCTCCTTGCTTTTTGTGGTGTTTCTGAGCTCGGTTACCCCATTGCCAGGACGATAGTCAGTGGGCTTATTCAGATTTGTATGAGAGGCAGTAAAACTAGGTTATATCCTGCGAGAGGATGTCACATTTAAGGACTTGTCCAGAATCAGATTAGGTTCATTTCAGACTGGCTGAAAGTGTAGAAATGTTTGAGTCTCTTGCTGACTTAGAAGTGGAAAAACAGTCAGACTAAGAGATTTTGGAAAGGAAGCTTAGCACAGATGGAAGGCACAAGCCCTCGAATTAAGGGCAGAAGGAGATCCAGTAAGGGAGGTGGACTGTGGGTGCTGGGTGCTGGGACGTGGCAGGGGTCTCCACTCAGTAAGTGGTGCCTCCTCAGTCAACGAGGGCTCTCTGAGTTGGACCAGCATGCTTGTTCCCCAGGAGGACAAGAGACACGCTTGTGGCTGGCCGTAGGGCAGCTGTGCTGTGGAGATCTGTTGGCTTCCTCTGCAGCTGACCACTGGTTGCTTGTCTCTGCTCCATGGGCTCAGGAGTAGCCTGCACACGCCAGACTGGCTTGTATTTGCAAATGCTTCCATGGTGTCTTGCCAAAGGAGGTGTGCAGCCCCTGTAGGCATGGTTCCATGGCCTTTGGGGACGTCTGCTGGCAGGCGTGAAAATGGGAGGAGATAGAGGAAGGATTGGTGAGGGCTGTCTTCCAGCTTTCTGCCACCGTGGTACCTCCCTGTACGGAGGCACTTCTTGGCTGTATTTACTCATGAGCTGAAGTCCACCAGCAAATCAGCTGCACTGGGATGTGGCTACCCGTGTGTGGGCAAAGACCTGAACCACAGAAAGGTAATCCAGGCCCCTCGTGAAATAGGCATGTTATGCAGCACGCGTGGTGTCAGTCCCACCAGAAGGTCACTTGGAGCCTATTTCTCCACCACTGATTCTGGGTTCCTGCAAGTTCTCTGGGGCACTGGATCACGACTCCGTGAGGACATGGTGCTGCTGAGAGAGGAGGACGTGCCAGCCAGGCGGGCTGAATGGAGGGGGTGACCTTGCACGTCACACCACCTAATGTTCACTTTGTGTTTTGGAAGGGACCTCGTAGATTTGAACATTCTGCTCCGGTCAAACGTCGCTCTCAAGACACCAGAGGAGGTTAGATGCTGGATTACTTTATCGTACAACTCTTATTTCCCTATGTGGGCATGGTGCTCTTGAGAGGTGTCGGGGTGTTGCTCGCCTCCGTTGTTATTTGACAGTCTTCCCAGAAGCACATG